AATGAAACATCTGCGAACTAATGAGCCAGCTCGGCGAGCGAACCAACCACAGAATCTAGCTCCTTTTCAGAGACCCTCCTGCACACTGACTCATCCTTCCCTTCAGTGTATTAGGACTTTTTGGGTAAACCATGGTTTTGTTGGGCATTCAATCCCACAATGGGAAGAGAAACTGGATTTATGTCAACAGGGATTCAGTGGGTAGCACTTGTATTTGAGTCACAACGTTGTGAGCTCAGCTCCCACTGCACAGTAAACTAGGCTGGTATTTCAGTGCAGTACTGACAGAATGCCACACAGTTGGAGATGGCAAATTTTGGATGAAACTGAGGCCCCATTGACTCTCCAAGTTGAATGTGAAAGATCTCAAGGCACATTTTAAAGATCATGGGTGTTAATTCCTGCTGTCTTGGCCAATACTTAGCCTACAATCAGCATCAGGAAAAGCAGATTATTTGTCATTATCACTTTGCAGTTCGAGAGATTTCTATAATATAACAACGACCACTCTTCAAGAGTATTTCATCGGTTACAAAATGAGACATGAAAGGGGGGCACAGTGAGAAAGACAGTGAGAAGTATAATTGTGGATGGGAGTTTAGTTCCGGATGTGGAATATATTCCTAGGCCCATCTTCCTTCGCAGGTCGTCCTTACTCAGTGGATAGTGATATCCTCCCTGTGACGAGGCGACTCGACGTGAAATGTCCCAGCTGCAGACTGACCTTCATGTAGGTTTGTCAAAGTTATTAACTCATTCATCAAGTCACAAGACTACTGCTGTAACATCCAACAATGTACAGGTTAGGTGGATTGGCATTACTAAATTGCCCCGTAGTGTTCAGGGGTGTGTAGGTTAGGTGGATTAGCCAGGTTAACACAGGGTTCCAGGGATAGGGTGGGGGGCTGGGGTTGGGTGGGATGCTGTACAGAGGGTTGGTGCTGACTCGATGGGCCGAATGGCCTCTTTCCACACTGTAGGGATTCAATGACTCTGTGAACTGCAATATGGATTTAAACACATCATCCTGGTCAACAACTCAGTGTAGTACTGAAGGAGTTCTGCACTGCTGGAGGTGCCATCGGTCAGAAAAAACCATGGGACCTCTCTGTCTGTTCAATTGGATATAATGGAAAAGAAAACTGGAATGGTGTAAAATGACAATTCCATACAATGGGGATGGAAAGTGGTTGTTTCACTGGAATTTGGAGAATCAGAGAAACTGTTACAGAGCAGGAGAGGATCATTTGGGCTATTGTCTCTGCAGCACTCTTCACACAAGCATCATTACCAAGTGTCTATGAGCTGGATTTTCTTGTTTCAGGTGGGAATTGGGAATTGATAGATTTCCTGGCAGGAAGAGGAGGCGAAGGCAAAGATGGGCTGATGCAGAAGCAGCTAGGTTAAAATACATACATTCAGATGCAGAGCCCACCAGTCAAGTTCTGGATATCATTGAGGCCCCTGATCCATCATCCTCTACCCTACCCTTTACTTCCACACCATTCTCAACCATAATAAACATCATCTTCCAATCCTCCTCACACCCAAATCTCTTCAACCCCCATACCCATCCTCCCCATACTCATCAACACCCATATCCACTGAAAGCTTCCCAGAACAACTTGTAAACAAACACTCCTCAGCAGAAAATATTAGTGGTGTGAAAGGCAGTCAAGCATTCAAATGGACATACCCCAACTTTGTGAACACAACCTCCTGGCGAGAATCCATTGTAACCTTTGGAGAAATCCAGATCACACAGCCGTGAAAACTCTGATACAGTCAAACAAATAGCTGACCTGAATTCGAAAGAGTTAGTTGAAACTCAACCACTTGTCAAGTTTAGAAATAATAAAAACAATAGCTGATCTGAACATCAAGTTAAAAATAATGGCAGTAAGACCACTGTACACAATCAGGCACAGATTTCAAACTAGGATAACATTTTAAAAATAATACAAGACAGAAGACCACTTTATCCAGTGGATTATCTACTGTAATGCATCTAAACACGTTTCTCCTTTCACAATGCGGTTCTTCCATTTGACAGATTGCTGGTTATCGGAAGTAACAACCTGACAACCACAGTATTTAATGGCCACTTCCATTTTAAACTCAAAGTAATATTATGACTCACTGTGGTAAAGACACACACATTTCATATTACAGCATCTCATACTGACATATGAATCATGCAATTACTTTTGACTTGACTTTTCGTTTAATTCCCATCCCTAAACCACAGTTCACCCATGTTCATGAGACCTCTATCCTGCTGTCATTTATATCATCTCCTACAGAAACCTGCTGGCGATGATGGGACAGCAGCAAGTTCACTCCCAATCTCCGTTCCCCCTGCCCCACACTTTTCATGCCCCAATGAAAACTGCTAGTTTTGGAAACCAGGGTGGGAATCATGATTCTGAGTCCTGCTGGCTGTTTTCAAAGGCTGTCGGATACACTTGGACCCTACGCTGGGATGGGAAAACGTGGTTCTAGTCATTGTGCGAAGAAATGCTCATGGCTGGCAATGACAGTCTATATAATTGAGCAGCCTTGCTTTAAGCACAACCACAAACAATGTCCTTGTCTGGGTCCATCCAGTGGGTTGCCACTATTACAAAATTAGCACAGGGCAATATACATAGAATATCACTTGGCCCGTCATATCAATCAAGAAAGTGATCTCATTGACTTCCACTTTCTGGGATTCTGAGATTCCTCAGAGGTAGTTCCAATCTCCCTCCAAGAAATTTTGACAAAAATTTTCAAGGTCAGTAGTATTTGAGGAGGAACAGAAAAAAAACAGGGAAAGGCTGTTTAAGAAAGAACTCAGCTCCATTTGAAGTGGCAATGCCCTATGTGCCTCCAAGCCATGGTGGTAAGATGTTGGTAATGCATCAATGTCACGAGGTATGGCTTTCTAGTGTACAGTAGGAGCAGTCATAGAATCCCTATAGCCCAACAAGTCCACACTGACCCTCAGAGCACCCACCCAAACACATCCCCCTATTACCCACCTAATGTACAAATCCCTGAACACTACAGGCAATTTAGTATGACTAATCCACCTAGCCTGCACACCTTTGGCCTGTGGGATGAAACTGGAGCACCCGGAGGAAACCCACGCAGACACGGGGAGAATGTGCAAACTCCACAGACAGTCGCCCGAGGGTGGAATCGAACCCGGGTCCCCAGTGCTGTGAGGCAGCAGTGCTAACCACTGAGCCAGCGTGCCGCCCACTGCTGTGGAAAAGGTACCCCCAGCTTGGGCTGGTCTCAGGTAAGTTAAGATTGGGGGGTGTGGGGGCAGGGGGCCCGGTGGGTGGTGGGAAGGGGATGTGGGGGAAACGGAGCCCCAGCAACAAAAAAAGCTGCGTTTACATGGCACTGTAGCATAGCAATTAGCCCATGGCATTTCACAGGGCTATCACGATCAGCATTTGACACCATACTATGTAAGGAAATGCTAGGAGAGGGAACTGAACGTTTTATGGTCAAAGACACCAGCTTTAGTGAGCATGTTAAAGAAAGCAAGAGGGCCACAGAGGCTTAGAGCAGGATCTCCTGAGTTTAGGATTGAGGCAGTTGAAAGTAACAGCATCCAGTGCTGGACAGAAGGGAATCGGTGAGGCGTAGGAGATCAGAATTGAAGGAGCGCAGATATCTGGGAGGGTTGTGAGGTGACATGAAGTTGCAGAGATAATGAAGGGTCAAGGCCATGGAAGGATTTGAAAATGATGAGAATTTTAAAATTGAGCTGCTGCTTATGCAGAAACAACTGTAGGTCAGCAAGCACAGGAGTGATGAGAGAATGATATTTGGTACAATTTAGGCAGCAGAGCTTTGGGTGAGCTGAAATACTTATGGCAGATAAAAGCTCCCCACACTGTGGCTAAACTCTGCCCTAACGCGAGTGAGAGCGGGAGATGTTTAATCCTTTCCTTCCAAAGCTGTGCCTGTTTGATAAACAGTAAATCAGTTGTTTAGTGCCACCTATTGAGAACAAAGCTTCATAATCAGAGAGTCACAGAGTCAGAGATGTATAGCACGGAAACAGACCTTTTGGTCCAACTTATCCTAATCTAGTCCCATTTGCCAGCATTTGGCCCATATCCCACCAATCTCTTTCTGTTCATATATCCGTCCAAATGCCTTTTAAGTGTTGTAATCGTATCCACCTCCAACACTTCCTCTGGCAGCTCATTCCATCCACGCACCACCCTTTGGTGTGAAAATGTTGCCCCTTACGTCCCTCTTAAATGTTTCCCCCCTCAACTTAAACCTATGTCGTCTAGGTTTGGACTCCAGTTCTCTCCCCACTAATCCTTGCTGAAACAGTACCAATTACAACTGGTTACTGTCAGCACGACAGACTTGTACAAGCAAGTTAATAGTTAGATAGGATATGCCTGTGCAACAAATGTTTGACAAAAGAAGAAAAATTATTTAAATGTAATTTATAATCTGTCATTATATTAATATATCATTCTAAACAGCAGTCCTGTACTTCCTGCAGCATTGCGTATTGTCTCGTTCTCCCAGGGTCTCAGCTTCATGTGAGCTGAACTCACTCAGCACACTGAGTCTCTAAATCCCTTTCTCCTATCGTTTCAACAGCTTCAGGGAACAGGAGGAGCCTTGACCCTACAGTAAAACAGGGACTTCTCTGCCTCCCCCACCTCAAATAAATCAGGTTGGCTACAGCCCCACCACCCTGTCACAGATTCCCACACCTATCTGAACCTATACATGAAGTTTACATACTTTAACTGATTGGGATTCTGTATCTGCACAAAAGCACAGGATTTTAAATCTCATTGATACTTAGTATTAAAGGTGAGAGGAAGACTTCCTTTTATTCACCCTGCACCTTGCACATCCTTTCACATCAGGATTGGATTCTTCAGGGTCACATTGTTAAGTAAAAATAAAAGGCTGGGCTGCAGAACTGACCAAAGTTTGTACCATTATTGTGTTAAAACAGACACAAGAAGTTAAAAAAATGTATTCATTTAATTCGCTGGTATCATGATTTATATCTACAGAAAGATGTCAGGCACTTTACAGGAGCTATGTTTCTTTTAAGGTTTTAACAAGATTTATGGAAGCCTAGGATAAATAATCCAAACAACATTTCCCAATCGATGGCACAGCCTAGAAATAGTTTCAGGCATTAACCCTATCGCAGGCTCTGCAAAGATCATTACTGTTTCATTACTGTAAATTAAACCTTCATTACTGGCTGCTTCAATCACAGAGTGCAGTCATTTTAATTTAATTACTAATTGTCCACTGCATGTCATGGTCCACACTGTGTATGAGAATCTATTCTTCAATATGTTAGAAATGAGGTCATCAGCAAGTGAGTGGGATTTTTTTTAATATATGAAGAGATCTGCATTGGAACATTGAGAAAACGATCAGGGCTGGATGTACGAATGTGTGGAAGTGCTTAGAAACCAGTTCTGCACAGCACAAACTGGAGTGTTTAGAAATAGTGAAGATCCCTTTCCATTGTCCCACCTAATAGGCCCAAATCCTAAGTTAAATACAAGAGGGGCCATCCCTAATGAACCATCTTCCATTTTCCACGTCAGTCAATTGATCATCTCATCAAGATTGGCACTCGAGTGCAACATTCAGGCAGTTTGTGTGCTTTGGGTTTAAGTCCAGATGAAACCAGCCAGGCACATTTAGAAGCTCCCTCCAAACACCTGAATCCCACCACCCAAAGCTAAATCTGGCTCCAGCACTCTCAGCTAAAAGGGTATAGCACTAATCAGCCAAGCCAGACAGCTCTCTGGCCTGATAGCATTGGGTGTTTACTTCCCTATGTCCTCAATGAATTCAGCAACAGAGTCAGCAGAGGCTTTCCTGCTCCCACAGGCAACTCTCCATTGACCAAACCCAGTATTAGGCTTCAGAACCGGCCATAACACTAACCACTCCTAACACTGGGTGCAAATCCCAGCCTATGAGACCAGCATTTCAGGGAAAGTGTGATAAACTCTGGCCATCCCCTGCACCAGCCATCCAGAAGTTATCATTCCAAGGTTTGCGAAGCACGATCATATTGGTCATATAGAGGCGCACCCACAGGCCCTTCTCCACTGCCGACATTCATATCTGGATTCTCCATTATCTGTGTCAGATCCAATCAGTAATCCATGGGCTGACAATACCAGACCATCAAGTGTGTTAGTTATGGGGATGTCTGCTAACACGTGCTTTTCCTACCCCACTTTCCACTCCCGGCGGTCATCTGTCTTCATGCTTCAGCTCAACTCATTCAAGTTTGTCGGTCATACAAAGTCCATGTCTGGTGGAACATTAGTTCTTTTGGTGCTGTGTGTTTCCTTGTCATTGTCCGGGACAGCTTCATCTCCAGGCTGCTTGGCATCATGGGCCTGGATGGTCTTGTTCAGTTCCTGGTGAGCTCGACGCACTAAGTATAACATCATGGCAACACTGAAGAAGATCTGGAGGAAAATGGACACAAGGGGTCAGAGTAAAATCGTGTGAAAAGGCATCTTCACACTGTGATACACTTACCTGTTCAATCATACTGCCGTCAAGCACAGAAGAAAATTAATTTGACTTCTTCATCTTATTGTCCTCCAAATAGCCCTCCCCTCAGCCCAGCTTCCCCGCTAGCCCCACATCTCCATTCTTCATATGCATGCTTAGAAAACAAATATGGCTTGGCTGTTCAACAACAGGGGCCATCACAGCCCAGTCACACTCTCAACTGCCCTCCGTGCAAGCACACAACGTTCAGCAGGGCCAGTGGATAGTGATCTGTTGAGACATTTTCTGCTGTCCTGGCCCATGGGATTGAGGACAATTGCAGTTCCACCACAGACTCTCTAAGTGAGCACTTTGCAAGGGATCGAGTGGGGGAGTCTTCAGGCCGAGAACAAAATCAAAGTACTGCGGATGCTCAAAAAATATAGAAAATGTGGGGAAAACTCAGCAGGTCTGGCAGCATCAGAGTTAATGTTCCAATTCCCAGAAGTGGGTTCTAAACCAGAGCCATTTCAGACTTGAATCGTCTCTGTAGATCTCTGCACAGATCTTCCAACTTGTTTAGCTGACTATAGCAGGCAAAGATCCTCATACCCACACAACCTCATCTTTTAGCTGCACTTCACGTGAGGACTTCAAATAGTCAGCATTCTCCTCGTGAAACTACTGGTGATTAACTAATATTAAACATTGGGCAGAGTTATGCTTCAATGAATGGCCCGGATTAAGTCTGTATTTCCCTTAGGATTATATTCCCAGCGGCTGGTCCACAGACCAATACAAGAAATGTTGCTTATGTAATGCTGGACATGTTCAATATCTACTTACAGTCTCTTACTCTGACCTTCTCATTTCAACATTGGTCCTTCAGGAAATAAAATTGCGGAACTAAATGCTCAAACAAACAGGGCATTTGCAGATTATTTTCTAACTGATCTATTCAGTGATGTTACGACACACCTCTGGAGTAACTGGTGTGATAGCCTAGGCCTCCTGGCTCAGAGGTAAGGACATTGCCACTGCACCAGAAGGGCCTACCAGGGCATGTTCACTCATTGTGAGGACACTTAGAATACCAGTTCCCCAACGGGGCAGCACAGTGGCTCAGTGGTTAGCACTGCTGCCTCACAGCATCAGGGACTAAGTTTGATTCCAGCCTCGGGCGACTGTCTGTGCGGAGATTGCTCGTTCTCGCCGTGTCTGTGTGGGTTTCCACCAGGTGCTCTAGGTTTCCACAGTCCAAAGATGTACAGGTTAGTTGGATTAGCCATGGGAAATGCAGGATTACAGTGATAGTGTAGAGGGCTGGGTCTGGGTGGGATGCTCTTTGGAGGGGCGGTGTGGACTCAGTGGGCCAAATGCTTCCACACTGTAGGGATGCTATGAAACACCACCTCCTATTGGAATACCCTCCTGAAATACAGCAGCCCCCATCTGTGGAGTGGCCCCTCCCATTCAGATATGTTCTCCACCCCACACCCCCAGCCACCGCCTCCCATTCAGATGGTCTTTCCAGAGAAAAGAGCCACGGAGTTTCACAAATAGATGGAGGAGCCAGTCTGCCAAGGATGTGGCCTCAGAGAGGCCTACCTGGGCCTGTAATATCACTCAAACAGGTTTACTGCTGGTTCACACACTGTCAGTTTGCATTCCAGTCAGCCAAGCTACAAATTACGATGAAAGGCCATGTTCCAAGAAAACTGCAGGATTTCACTTTTCTGTGAGTCTAAACTTGCTTATTAATCACAGAATTATTACAATGCAGAAGAACACCATTCAGCCCATCGTGCCTGCACTTGTTCTATTACCTAGTACCAATCTCCTGCCTTTTCCCCATACCCTGTTCACCATTTCTATCCAAATAACCATCAAATGCCCCTCTTGAACATTGAACATCTATCCACCACATTTCCAGGCAGTGCATCCCACACCCTAACTACTTGCTGTGTGAAAAAGTGTCTTCTCATAGCCCTCTTGCTTCATTTACATATCACTTTAGATGTGTGTCACCTCATTCTTGTTTCTTTTATGAGCGGAAATAGTTTCTCTCTAGCTACTCTGTCCAGCCCACTCATAATTTTGAAAACCTCAATTAGATCTCCTTTTGTCTGAGGAGAACTGCCTCAACATCTTCAATCTATCCTCATAACTGAAGTTTCTCGTACCTAGAACCACTGCATTGTGTACTTATTTATTCTTAGGATGTGGTTATTGGGAGCAAATCCAGCATTTACTGACCTTCCCTGGTTACCCTAGCGAACGCATTGGTATTCCTACAGCATTAGTTGGTGAGGCCCGGGGTTTTGGCCAAGAGAAGATGAAGGATTTGTCATATTCCAAGTGACTGTAGATTTGATCCTTCCACTTTACAGCCAGCTTTCCAATTGCAGCTTTCACATTAATTTTAATGGGTGTCAATTATTCTACGCACAAGCACATGCAGCTATATTCTGGTTTACTCCTGAGGGCTTCAGCAACAATGGATTTACTGCATAAAGCAGAAACTTTCAGGTTTAAGGAATGCAAGTAGTGCAAACCATACATCATTTAATACTCTCCATGTTCACTATCTATCGATGCAACAGATAAGCCACTATATCTCCCAAAATGGTCATTTAACCTGTTTTTCAGTTTATCAAACGCTTCGGGTTGCAAACATGAAAATACAGCTGAGTGGCCATTCACTTACCATTCACAACCCAGCATTGTCGATAAAAACACAGACATGAAAAGCATTTTTAATGCCAAAGAGCCCAGTGCTTCACAAGAGGAAGAGCTAGATGAAAGATAAAGAGATGATGTGCTAGAAAAGGAAACAAAGAGACTGTTAACTTCACAACAGCAAGAGTGATCAGAGAGAAAGGAGGGTTAAACAGATAGTCAAGAGAGTGGATGGAGGGTGAGAGGGATTGCATGGGGGTGGTAGGGAAAATGGATGAAGTGAGGGACAGTCAATGGATAGAGTGAGGCAGAGTGCACAAAGAGATGAAGGGAGAGTGGGCTGAAGGAGTGAAGGAAATCGACCGAGAGAACACGGGAGATTGGATGGAGAGAGACAGGGAGATTGGACAGAGGCAGTGAAGGAGAACAGCAAGAGGGAGTGATTGAGAATGTACAGAGGGAAGGAGAATTGACAGAGAGATTGAGGGAGAATGGGCATGGAGAGTGATCAGTGAGAGTGTGGTCAAACAGAATGAAGCAGAGTGGACAGCCGAGTGAGGGAAAATTGACTGTGAGGAAGAGAGAATGGACAAAGGGAGTGAGGACAGAGAACATCAGGAAGACTGGACGGAGAGAAAGGGAGAGAGGGAGTGTGGACAGAGAGACAACCAAGGGAGTGTGTACAGTGGGAGCAAAGAAGAGACTACAGAGGGATTGTGAACGGAGCAAGTGGGGAAGCGCAGATGAAGGGAGTGGGAGGGGCGCGGACGGAGGGAGTGGGGTACAGCAGACCAAGAGAGTGAGGAAGGATAGGCAGAGAGCGCGACGGACAGCGGGCAGTGAGAGTGGATGGGGAGAAGAAATTAGGGTATGGACAGATGGCGTGTACACAGAAAGAATAGGGGAGCGTGGACAGAGAAAGTGAAGCAGGTTTGACAGAGAGAGCGAGGAAGAACGGAAGAGGGAGAGAGTGAGAGTACACTGAGGGAGGAAGCATAGGAAGAGGAAATGAAGAAGAGTGTACTGAAAGAGAGGGGGTGTGTAGGAAGAAAAAGGATGAGGAGAAGCGACAGAGAGAGAGTGTGAGGGAGGGAGGGTGGACAGAGGGACTGAGTGAGAGTGCACAGAGAGAATTAGCAAAATTGTTCAGAGTGTGTGAGGGAGAGAGGATGGAGGTAGTGACAAAGAGCGGACTGAGGGAGTGAGGGAGAGTGGACAGAAAGTAGTCACAGGCATTGACGAAATTGGGACAAACAGTGGACAAAGGGAGCGAAGTGGATTGGATGGTGGGAGTGAGAAAGACGGTACAAATATGGAGTGTGTGTGAATGTCTTGTGAAGAGTGGCTTGGTAGCAACTTGAGGTGAACCAATAGTGAGCAAAACAGAAGATAAGAAACGGGAAATGCAGCAGTTGATTTTACTGCAATAAATCAGACAGTTTGTTCCTCCAACATTTTTTGAAAACTTTGTGCTTGTTAATTCTGAGAGATTGTTACCTGTAATATAAATGCCAAGTAGCCCTCTGGACTTCGATGATTTACCACATCTTCCAAGGTCCTAACAGTACTGCCCAGGTAAGAGTTGAGGATCTGAGAGGGTAACAGACCCACAGTGGAGGTGGCCAAATAGTGCAGTGTTTCCAACTTGCTGATCTGAACAGAAAACCCAAAGACACTAGTTACCACTCACAAGGAGGACATTATATTTAATAAAGTATTATTAATCATTGGCATTTTAAATAAGTCAAAAAAATTTTTAAATTTTTTAAATGATAGTTCTTGACTCTTCTTTCTCAGAAGCATTGCCTCTCTACTTGCCTGGGTATCATTCCCATTACTCATTTGGAATCCAGTGAAACAAAGACTCCGTCTCAGAAAACTCAACCAATCTGGTGTCACGACCAACAAACATTCCTCATACAGTTTTACATGGTGCACCTTCAGTGTTGCTGAGTCAGTGACCAACAAGGATGTAAAGAAGAAACAGCACTCTTTGGCATTAAATTGGCTCACTGTCTGACTAAGCCTCAAACACGCAGTCAGGAATTTCAATGGTTCGCAAATGACAGAGAAGAAATTCTTCCTCATCTTCATCTTAAATGGGCAGCACCTTATTTTGAAACTAAGTTCCCCTGGTTCTAAACTCCCCCATGAGCAGAAATATTCTCTCAACATTGTTTTATTCATTCATGCAATGCAGACATTGCTGGTTGGTCCATTCCTAAATGTCTCGAATTAAGTGATGATGAGCGACCTTATTGAACTGTCATATGTGTGGAGTGTAGGGACACCTGCACTAGGGAAGGAGCTCCGGGATATTGACCCAGCACCAGTGAAGAAACAGCCATATATTTCGAAGTCAGGATGGAGTGTGACTTAGAAGGGAACTTATATTTGGTGGTGTTCCCATGCATTTGCTGCTGTCACCTTTCCACGGAGCTCACTAGGAAGATTATGATAACATCAGCTCTCACTCTTCTAAATTCTAATGAGTACAGGCCCAACCTATCCATTTTGCGTATCAGGAAAGGATCAGTGGTTTGGATTTCTTGAAGGCTTTTTAGTGGTCATTGAAAAGAACGCAAGGTCTGGATATCATTCAGCAAGCAGAACTGCCACCACAGGGAAAGGTTGAAGGGAACCTTAAGATGCATTTAACAGGAAACTGGTTGAGCACATGAGGGAGAAAGGTGATTGTAATGGTGGATTTACAAAAGAAAAGATGGGAGACTTGAGTGGATCAGAAATTCTGGCATGGGCAAGCTGGTCTGAATGTCAATATGAAACGGAAGTCATTTTTGGCAAATTTGTTAGGGTTTATTGAGGATGTAACAAGCATGCAAATAATCTGGATACTAGTCCTCCCTTAATTTATGCCCTGTCATACAATGTATCCGCTTTTGGGAAGCCTATTAATTCTGCCAATGATCTCTGGCCCTTGTTATTGCTTATCATGACTCAAATGAATCATGTTCCCAGAATAAATTAATTTCTCGCTATCAAACTGAAATCATCCTTATTAAACTGAGCTACTCCACCTCCTTTTCTTTTCTCACTATCCATCTGAGATGTCAAGAACTTCCAAATATTTGTTTTCCAGCCTTTGTCAACTTTCAATTATGCATATTACTCCCAAATGCTTCAATTTGCACTATCAATTCATCCACCAGTATGAATTCAAATAGTGTCCTTTAACCAGTTTGTCTGCTTTATTTCTATTTGCTGGTGTGTGATGTCATGTTTGAAAATTAGTTCCTGTCACACTGGTCATCATTACCTGCAAGACTGCTTTGTCCTTTCTCTACGGCTTTCTAAATCTCTCCCCATTCAAACCCCCTCCTTACTATTTACTTAAAAGCCCTCTCTACAGCTGTAGTTCCTCATTCACCACAGCAATAATCCCAGAATTGTTCCAGAGAGGTCCATCCCAATGGAACAGTTTCTTCTTTCCCCTGTGCTGGTTCCAGTTGTCCAAGAATTGAAACCCATTATTTCCACAGTAATCTTATGAACCCTATTTATTTATGGCTCAGATAAGAATAAGGAAATTACCATGTTTCTGGTTCTCTGTTTTAATTTATTCCCCAGCTACTTGTGTTACTTATCAAAATCTCTATGTCACTCGTACCAGTGTGGACCAAACTGGACCCTCCCCCTCCTACTGCAAGTACCTTCCAGCCTCAAGGAGATGCCCTTAACCCTGGCATTGAACAAGTAACACAGTCTTTGGGATACTTGCTCTCAGCTAAAGAGAACAGCATCCACCTCCTTAGCTATAATGTCTCCTATTACTACATTCCTTTTCATTTTCCCCACTTGGTACAGAGGGGGAGCATCCATGGTCCTCTGCTCATCTATCCTGTTGCGTCTACTCTCATTCACACAGACAGCGAGAAGCTCATGACAAGTGAGGGGCTAAGGGTTACCCTCTGGATTGCCATACCTGCTCTACTGATAGTCACAGTCATAGCCTCCTGCCCCTGATGACAGACCAACTCTGATGCACGTAACGGATGTCATTGCCTGCTGGAAGAAAAAGTGTTAAGGAAACTTTCTCCCTCTCTGATTCATCACAAGGTGTGAAGCTCAAGCTCCAGCTCATCAACTCTGTGCGGTTTCTCAAGCAGCAGGCATTTACCGTTCTTGTGGTTGCTGTGGATCACACTGTGTGTGTGCAAGCTGCAGCACATTACCTTCCTTGTCATTTTTATTTTATTTTCTTTAACTAATTTGGTTTTGAAGTTTCACTCAATTATCCAATCATGTTTTTAACCAAGACAACAGCCTTGTTTAGTTTAGGAAATAAGTTTAGGTCTTTTCTGTCACTTTGTGCATACCTAACCCGTCTCGGAGTCAGAGTTTTGAGAATTCAAGTTCTGGAGGAACATGAACACCTAACGTAAACAGAGTGCAGTGGGGCTGCTAAATCACAGGGAGTGTTGTCTTTTGAATTAGATATTAACCCAATAGCACATCTGCCTTTTCTGTGAAAGATTGCATGGCACTGATTTGAAAAAGAGCAGGAGAGTTCTCCCCAGAGTCCTGACAAACTTTATCCACCAACATCAATAAAAACAAAACAGCTTAACCAACCATTAACTGTTTGCAGGACTTTGTTGCACAGAAATTGCCTGGCAGGTTTCCTACATTGCAACAGTTGACAATACTTCAAAAGTACTATTTGGGCTGCTGTATAAATACTGTCTTTCTGTCTGTCTTTAGTCCTGTGCCATGTGATTGATGCACTTCAGTCTTTGATTCTTAAAGTAATTTATTACTGTGGCTGTTCTGGCAGCAATTCCCACCATTCAGAACACACCAATATATTGTGTGGGCTCAAAATAGAGGCTCTGCACTGACAGAATCATAACACTGTATAACTTGCAAGGTCAGGTCCATAGGGAAGAACATTCAGCAGCTCGCCCTGCAACTCTGCCAAAGTGTTTGCTTAGCTCAATACACTAAGCTCTTCAAGGTCTAGACAGTGCATTTTGTACATTATCTAACAGCTATCAACTGTGGGCCTGTCGTCATTAGCCACTACATTCAGAATCTCAAAGCAAATAACACGTTTTTAAAAGGAGACTTTTTTCACCATTATGTTAAAAACATCTCTCACTCCAGCTGTGTTCAGTGATGCTTATGAACCAAAGCCATTAAAGGAAAATGTCTATGATGCTCTCTAGCTGTTTGTGCACTGCTATATCGGACATTAGGTTTTTGACCTGGACTTTCAAACAGACGTGCATGAGATAAATTTTTACAACCTTGTTACGTTTCCTGAGAGGTACTTTGCTCTACATTTGTCACCCATTCATTTCACAGCTCTGTTCTAATGCCTTACTGAACAACCTAACAGAACATAACATCCACGAATTCCTCCCATTGAGACAATAAGCCAAATTTCTTTGGAAAAGTAATGGCAAGTAATCAACATGCATTGATGTCTGTAAAGCAGACAGCAGGTTCAGGGAAAGCAGACAGATATTGTGATTTGAAAGCTGCCAGAACCTGTCAGCCATTTTTTGCCACTCTACCACTGGGTTTGCAAGGACAGCATCTCACTCACAGGCCACATTAATTTGAAGTGCTTGCTGGGCTTGCACATTGCCCAACAAACTTACCACAGAAAATTAAGGCTCATAATTAATTGCTCAAAGTACTCTTTAAGCAGCAGAATTATTGTTCAAACAAGGTCAACTTCTCTCATCTGGAAAGGAAACACTTTAGAGTATCACGTCTCATTTGGGAGTATGTTCTTCTTAGACATTAAACTTCAAACAAAACTAACATTTTTGAATTTGTTTGTAACATTCCTTTGTCTTTTCTTTCTTCTTTCTTAATCTAATATTTCTTGTCGTCTTATTTCTTTCTTCATCAATCCTAAGCTTATTTCCCAATCATTAAGACTCACTAGTTGAGGAAACACATTGTTGATCTCATTGTTCCCAAAGGTCCTAGATGCTGAGTTTTCTTCACCACGCTATCCACAGCTTGCATTTTTTGCAAGCTGCATAATTAATTCTAGTTGTGCTGAACATTAACAGTAAGTCTAACAACTGATGCTGCGAGATGACTCATTCCAATGAGATTGGAGGTATGAATCTTATTGTTGTTTGCCAGAAGCACTTAGATTGAACTATGTCTAGACCAGTGAAAAAAAAAACAAGCTTCCCAATTTTCCAGAAGCCTAAGTTTAAAGGCAGCGTATTATAAAGCATCAAATTTAATGCACAGAATAAGTACAGACCCTTCAGCCCAACTGACTGAGGACAGTGATTACACATCATGTTGTTTATGGGCCTGAAGGACTGAGTGAGGACAGTAAGCACCAATCACTGTGATAATGTCACAGGAATCTGGTCAGAGTAAAAGGTCAGAGACAAACCTGAGGCTACCATACTCTTAACTGTCTCTGCAATAATGCAGGCCATATTCTCGGAAGCTGTAAAAAGTGCAGCAATGCAATGAAATTTGTGTTGTTCACTTGAGAAGACTCTTTTAGTTACTCTAGATAGGTGGTCATCCTCACCCGTAATAAGTCACTGAGTTTGAAGGAATCCACAAAGACTCCAGGATATTGATCTAGTGGCAGTGAAGAAGTGGCGATCATAGATCAAACTTGCAGATAGTGGTGTTTTCTTGCATCTGCT